ATTTTACTTACTTCAAGGCTCCTGATCTAGTTTCAGAACAAACTGAATCTCTAGTTAGGCTGCATATCCAACTCTCCTCATACCATCTGTGCTGCTGTTCAGCAAAGTTACCTCTTCATCAAACATGGACATTGCCTACATATCAAATTTCATCTGCTAGCCTTTTACCCAGACATTAGGAATGTGAATGCCATCAACAGTGCAATGCTCCAATTGCTCCAATATAAGATGTGAGAAGTTCCACAATGCATTACACACAGTGAACCTAGACTGAAGCCTTCTGAATTTAGGAGAGGATGTTGATGTGGCTCTATTTCAGATCTTAAGCAGAATTATTTGCACTATGCTACAACTCCACAAGCCCTCACTTAGCCATCAGATTTTCCTTTCAGCAAGATCTCTCAGATCTAAACAGCTTCCTATGCTCCTTCTGCTTAGATTACAATTTATAAAGCTTTCATGCCTCAACATGCTAATATATATACACTAAGGGCTTTTACTTTCACAAGTTGTTCTCTTCCCTAATCCATTGATACAGGAAAACCATTGTTAAACATTATGAAACAGCTGTTCTTACATCTTATCTAATAAATGTTCTTAAATACTGTTCAGTGAGGAAAATATTACTGTGAATTAAAAATCAAAGGAAATTTTAGACCGGAAGAGACACTTCAGATTCCTATATGCTTTCTATTTCTAAGAACAAAAACCTCCGAACAGGGAAAAGAGTCGAGATCATCTTTACAACTGCTTATGTTACCGTTTACTGTCTATATTCTTTTTTCTGCACCTGAGGCATATTCAGGTGTTAAACCACTAGAGAATGTAACAGTATTTTGCAAAATGTTGAATTAGAATTACTTACGTGAATGAACCCAGCATATTTTTTGTCTATTTCCACCAACTGCTGGTCAGCTTTATTTCGCATAGAGGGCTCTGGATCTGTGCCCATAGCAATTAAGTACGGCACACACTTGAAAAACAAACAAAACGATTATTCAGAGTCACTGTACCTCCTCTTTCTCAGTCTTTGTTCTACTACACTACTGTTCTTGTTATATTCTGACTACTGAAGAAACTAGAATAGGAAGCTCTGTGCAACTTACCACCTGACTACTTTTTGCAAGCAAATAATACAAAATACACAAGAGACCAGCATTATAAATTACAGAAATTGTGTGAGGTTTCAGGTAGTATTCCCTTGCTCTCAAAATCTAAAATCCATTTAGAGTACAAAAACCGCCATTTAAAAAAACCCACAGCACTGACTGAACATGCACAATGGATGCAGTATAAAAAATAGTTACAAAACATTACGTAAGCAAAGAATAAAGGAGATGATGACTGAAGTTCTGACATTGACTGTGGAATTCCATAGTGTCTGGAGAACAAGAGGACTGAGGTGGAGGCACGACGACACATATTCCAGGATAAAGAATCAAATTAAGAAAACAACCTGGCATATATCAGAAATTCGTAACAGAAATATGCTCCAATGTACATTTGTAAGTGCTCTTTAGGCACTGGCTGGGCTTTTACATCTTGATTAAAAAACAGAAAATACAGCATTTGGAATCTCACTTTTTGGCTAAAACAGAATAAAAATCTTGCTTTCTGTAAAGCCCTCTTGCTGCAATAAGAAATTACTGTAACATAGGTGGAAAAGAAAAACTAGAAATTCATGTAGCAAATGTGAAACCCTCTGAAAACCTGAATAAGAAAAAATTCCATCATAAAAGCCTACCATACCTGAACAGGATGGATGAGACCCTGGTTCAACGTCAGTGCAATAACATTTAGGGCGAAGTGGCGTACGCTAGACTGGGTATGAAAGAAAGCCTCAAGGACCTGTTTGAGATATAGCTGCATGATGGAGCTACTCATCCCTGAGGAAATATCACCCATTTCTTTCAGGTCTTCCTGTTTTGCTACTTTTTTCCCTGTAAAAAGGACAAAAGCATACTCACCACAGTATAATCATGTACTTTTTCACCACCTGATTTATGCTGATATTTAAGCTTTATAATCCACAGACATTTCAGTGGTCTTAAATGGCTTTAAAATCTCATGAAACACAGAACAATCTGATAGTAAATATACATAAAATAACTAGAGAGACATTACTTTAATTAAAGTCTTGTTCCTTAAAAAAAGTTTTTAATTTTAAAAATTTCTTTTGTTTTATTTATTATTTTCTATCTGCAAATTAACCTTAGAAGAGACTCAGCTTAAAACTATTACTGTCATTAAAACTATTACTATCATTACTGATCATTACAGCAATTATGCATTCTGGATTGCTTTCAGAATTTATACAACTTGAAAAGTAAACAATATACCTATTATATACATTATTATATGTATATACCTACGCACACAATGAATATTTGAAAATTATTTTAAGAAACTTTGGGCACAAAATTGCCGATCTGGTAACAATCATAAGTGACTCAGTTCACATATACAGTAATTGTATGCAAGAAAGATAGGTTTTGTATGCCTCATTAGCACAGAAGAACTCAACACTTACAGTCTCTGTCTGCCTGTTGCATACGTGTATCCTCCTCCTGCAAGTAGGTCTGGAGGTTTTTTAACACCTGGATTTTTAAGTTTACTGAACAGTTCTTATCTGAAAGAATACTGTTGTACAGAGTCTTCACTTCCTGTTCAAACATTAAGCTTGGGTGTTGTATAAATGCAAATCCTAAGGATGGGAAAAAAGAAGAAATATTCCACATTATTATCATCTAGAAATATTATCTCTGCTTTTTAAGTCTTTCTTCAAAACAGAGATACAGAATTCATGTCCTCCCAACAGCACAGCTACTTCTAGATTGAACAGTACTGCTTTTTTATCTGGACAATATTCATAGATATTAAGAGTTCTGTTAGCCATGGCAGTTCTATTATTCATGACTGTTTGATACAACAGCTTCACTAAGAAAAGTTATACAGGTCTGGAAGCATGTCCAGTGTAGCTGCTTGCATCTGAATGACCATGATCTCTCACAAGAACAAGGGAAGGACATTATTAAAAATTACCCATTGTTTTTCTATTACATTTGGAGAAAAACATTCTGTGGAAACTGTGAAAAGTTATTCATATAGAGGCAGAACAAATGTGCAAAAATTGATAAATATCACAAGTACTTAAAAATAAAATTTTGAAAGAAAAGGAAAACCCAACAGTGAACATGTTAAAAACTTGTATATCTTGCTGTCAATATTCACATAACTACTACAATGGTCTTTTCTTGAAAACTATCTGTTCTCAAGACTACATCTATAGGAAAATACATTCTATAGAACTGTTTTTAGCTGGAGCCTTATCCTTGTCGAGGAACTGGTTGCTCTGAGTCTGTATTTGATAAAACTTTTCTAAATTAGTGACGGTATAACGCATTTTAGATCACGTATGGAGATTCTGAAGTGCTGCTGACAAACTCTTACAAATTATCATAAAACAGTACTGGGAACATATCATCCCAATTTAAATTATGTTTAACTATTTTTTTTTAAAGATTGTTCAAGAAAAGCAGACATTAAATGTATTTTTTATGACACAGGAAACTAAGATTGTGAATGAACACACAGAAAACATAAAACATAAAAGAAGAATGGGAGGAAAAATGAAAGCAAATGTATCATGCAAAAGCAATGTATAATAATAGCTGAAACAAAGGCACGAGTGAGCCAAGCTTTTTAAACCGGCTCCATACACACAGAAAACACGGTTCAGGTGAAGGCCAGGGCAAGATCTCAATGAATTTAAGGTCTCATTTCAGTCTCAAAACAAGAAGTGGAAAGAAGCAGGTGAGGTGGACAAGGAAGAGGAGAAAAAGGAATGATGACCTTCTTTGAAGTATGTGGCACTCTATACATGTTGTTGTTTATGTATGTTGTTGTTTATGACTTGACCACCTCTGACTAAGTCCCACTGATTTCTTAAGGTAAATTTTAAAAATTAAAAGCACGTACGTGTAACAACATATAACACTTTCTTTTCCTTCGTTCACTTAGAGGAGTCTAAAACACTAGTATTCTTTAGGAAATCTTTACTTTCCCATCCCTTCTAAGCTGGAAAGAAATACTTTGCATAAAAATTGGTCATAAGAGATGAAAAAAGGCACCTGCTGTATTTCTTTTAAGGACTGACTACACATTTGAGGCTGCCCTCACATCGCTTGTCTTCACACCTTTGTTTTCACTCTGTTAAGAGTCTTAAAAGTAAGCACTGAACATGGCTAAGATATTACCTTTTAGATATTTAAAGGTACAGCTATATTTACTAACGAAATGTTATATCCTCAACCCGCCTTGCAAGTACACAGCTGCAGGAGAAGCATCCCAAAGCAAAGGGTGAATTCATTGAATGTCCTTACTGAAATGACACACTAATAGTTGCTAATAGGAAAGTACACACTCTTCACAGGACACCTTTCCTATGTATAAATATTGTATTAACTTGCTAGTTTTTCCACCTTATTGCTGCACGCAAACACTGAATGGTTTTGACAGCTTTGCTCAATTACCAGCCTGAAAGGTGGAACTTCGCACTGTCTACCGCATCTCCATCCAGGCAACAGCTACTCTCAAGATGGAAACAGTACACATATGAGATCAATGTATCACTGAAAACAGTTTTCCAAGGTTTAATTAAAATAAGGACTGATATGCTTACAGGCAGAGAAAAAAAATCTGAAGATGCCTACTGACAGCCACCCCCATTTTTCGCCACTTGCCCAAACTGATCAAAGTTCAGTATATAATTTAAAAACATTTTTAGCGAGTGCAACATTCTCACATCCATGAGCAAAGAAATCCTGTCTTATGGCCTACCCCATGTGCAATATTCTGTAGTGGATAATTAAACAGGACCGGAATACAGTAAGTGTTGTGCACCTTGGTGTAATGCCTTGAAAAACCCCAAGTAGTCCAGAAAACTGTAGCATTACTCCTGCGACAGAGACAACCATAAAGCCATTAATCCCACTCAACTGTCTGAAATGGTTTACCACAGAATACGAAAGCAATATTCAGTCTTGGTCCTTATCCTTTGAACCCTCCCTAGTCTGAACTGAAGCAGTCACCTAAACAGCAACACAAAGCAGCAAATTCTTGTCCAGTTAAACCATAAAATCCAAGCTCACATGTCTGGAACACAACTTTTTTTAGACTAAGCTATAACCATGAACTAAACTCTTCCAGAATTCAAGGCCTGTCTGCCCAAACAAGATTCTCTCACGTGTCCAGTTTTTATCCTTACGAGAGAACGAATACGATGCAAACATTCAATGGTCAAGGGAGGTCATTCTCCTCCTCTCCTCCACTCTTGTGAGATGCTACCTGCAGTACTGCATCCAGCTCTGGAGCCCCCAACCCAAGAGGGATATGGACCTGTTGGAGCAAGTCCAGAGGAGGCCACAAAGATGCTCCAAGGACTGAAGCACCCCTCCTATAAAGACAGTCTGAGAGAACTTGGGTTGTTCAACCCGGAGAAGAGAAGGCTCCGAGGAGACCTTACAGCAGCCTTGCAGTACATAAAGGGGGCCTACAAGAAATCTGGAGAGGGGCTTTTTACAACGGCTTGGACGGACAGGACAAGGGGGAATGGTTTGTAACTGACAGAGGGTAGATTTAAATTAGATATTAGGAAGAAGTTCTTTACTATGAGGGTGCTGAGGCACTGGCACAGGTTGCCCAGAGAAGCTGTGGATGTCCCATCCCTGGCAGTGTTCAAGGCCAAGGCCAAGTTGTATGTGGCTTTGAGCAACCTGGTCTAGTGCAAGGCGTCCCTGCCCCTGGCACTGGCATTGGAACTGGATGATTTTTAAGGTCCTTTCCACCCTGAATCACTATATGAATGGCAGTTAATGTACTACTGCAAGTCACTGAAATACCATACTAACGCCTTCAGATAAAGAATCTATTTAAAAAGTTAAATACAGTTAAAATCCTGAAACAAACTGTAATACCTAGACTATAACAACATCTCAATGCCTCGTCAAGTCTCCCTGAGCACCCCCTGGTATAAACTACCAGAGTTCCTTTGACTCCTGTAGAATATCTGCTCCTACACTTAAAATACTAAAAGTTTTTCCAGCATGTTTTCTAGGTGTTCTCTAACCATACCTTATGGACTGAAAACCAAGATTGAGTTATAACGTATTTGCGTATGGAGAATAAATAACTTGCAGAAGTATGCAACCAGCAACTCTTTGACAACTTTTCTATAGCTGGTTCTCACATAAAATACGCAGTAAACTTAGATTTTAAACAAACACCCTTGCCACTACACAAATTCATGAGTTCCTACTGATACACATGGATTTTTACTAAAGCAGAATAATCGAAACTGTAATATTTCTTACCAAGGCCAATAATAGCTTTTGTCTGTACTTCCTCGTCTGAATGCTTTGTAAAATACATCAGCAGTTCCAGTACTTTATCCTTAATGTTAACCTGGGCAAAATAAAACAAAAAAAAGTTATTTGAAGATTAAACATACGTTTTTAATCTCTTATAAAAACTTAAATATCAAAAAGAAAAGCAGAAACACCATCTTACTGCATGGCCTTTGCAAAACTATGTATTTAAAAACCAAAAATCTGTATTGTATGCATAGTGTATGAAAAAAGAAAATCACTTTGAGGGACTAGGAATAATGTGCTTTCACATTAAAGTGGAACATTCAGTATATCTAAGACACGGAAAGTAAATACAAGTTACTTTACCTTACTGTTGCCCTTAAAATCTTCATGATCAAAATCAAAATGCCGACACAGAGCACCAACAGTGAAAAGTGATCTAAGGAGTGCTGGTTTATTGGCAGTAAGAATTGTACTGTTGGGGTCTTCTTGGTGTTGACTTTTTAATTTCGAAAGTGCACCTACAGTAAGATAGAAGTTTTGATCACAGTGTTTAATCATAGTGTATCACTATGATAAGACTTTTAGCTAAAACTGAAAAGTGAGACTCATGTGCTGTGATTTTACTTACCATAGTATCTATTAAAACAGGCCCATACAAATTTATAGTTCTGGGTGACCTTGTTCACAACAGCCCCAAGACAGCTCACACAATGCTGAACAACCTAGGAGCAAGAAAGAATAAATGAATTATACATTTAGAAGTTAAAACTTTTATTCTTATGAAGTTATGTAGAAAAAGCTATGCTGAACTAAACCCAGTGATGTAACAGATGTAATGTCCATCTCCCAAACTGCTTCAAAAAACTTCTCAAACTCACCAAAATATAGCAATGCATACAAACTCCAGTAAATCAAGTACACTAATTTTTCATGGCTCAAAAGTAATCTTCATAATGAAGACAGACTTTTTAAAAATAAAAAGCACATATTTTACAACATGAAATGGAATCTGTGCAATAGTAGCAATTGAAAGCTTACTGTCATGCCATATTTGATGATGAGTTTCATGAGGTCTTCCTCAATAGTGGCAAGAAAGGTCTCACTTGGGTGCTCCATCAGAGGCACTACAAGCTCTAAGATTTTTGCAACATTGCAGATCACCATGAAATCATTCTGGGTCTGAAACAACATTATTTATAGTGTTCAACATTTCTGGTCATTTCATCTTAAGCTAAGTATTATTATTATGCGCTGATAGTTAAAACTTCCAACTCACCTAAGATATTTAGTGAAGAACTAAAATAATATTTATATAGTTTACATCCATTATTAAATTCCATATTACTATGAAAGCTAGTTCTGTTTTTTACAGAACTTCTGGGGAAAAAAAAAAGTATGAGCAGAATTTCATCTCTCATTAAGTCTGTGACAGAACTGAAAACTTTCGGTCCTGATTTTTTTGAGTACTAAAATAAATCTAGGAACTCTTTCTTACGCATGCACACTACATAACACACAACATGTGGAAACAAGTGTCAGCAATACAATGAAGCTGTGCTATGACTCAACGTGGCTTAAGCAAATAGATAATAATGTACACAGATGTAGAAATTTTAACTAAAATGACTGGTTTGCATTATCATGACTTTGTATGTATTGTAACTGAGGAATCTGTGGAATATACTTATTTATTAAAGGTATGTCCTGCTAGAAATTTACTTTTTTGACAAATCAAGCCCATTGATCAGGATAGGATAATTCTGAAATGCTACTAGCAAGCTATTTAACGCAATCAAGGTGACAGTGGCAATTCTACAATTGATCTCAACCTGCGCGGGTACAAAACCTTTGTAACCCCCTAAATAGCTTGCAGCAAGGAAATAATCAGAAATCCCTTCCTATACTATTTGATCAAAATCAGCCCTAAAAGTCTGTAGTAAATATGTCTAGAGAAAGCTCCAGGGACGAATGTGGAAAATGCTAGGCTATGCCTACATCTAAGCAGATAACAAGTATGCTCAAGCCTGCCCTGGGCTGCATGATCCTGCCCTGCTCCTTCTGCCAGATGGAGTGTTCGTAAGAACCTTCACTGATCCAACTATGCTAATCAATATGGCAGAAAGAGCTGCAATGTTCCAGAGGCCATTTTACTGCAGGGGACGGGGTTCAGCATTATAGTTCTCTACCATTTTTGTGAGCTAAACTGTTTTATAGGTGAATACAAAAAAACTAGAGCTAGAGAAGGGAGATATGAAGTACGGAAGAGGACAGAGCAGGACATTTTCCTTCCGACATATTTGCTCTATGTTAGATCACTCTGTCTCATGGAACCACACCTTTAGTCTTAAGATTCGTATGTTAAATATTAATTGCTTCTAAGACTGTGACTATAAACCAAAATAATTTAAAGAAATTATTTTGTAACATGAGAAAACCTGGATCGTAAGTTCTCAAGGGAAAGAGGCAGCATAGGTTTCAGTTTCATTTGGCTGTAAAATGTAGAGCTAGAGAGTGAGGAACAGCTTAGAAGCCACAGAGATCACCAAAATTACCTAGTATCTTCTGCAGCTAAGGTGCCCAGAAAATAAAAACGCAATTTTAAGTTTTCTCTTCCTACCTTCAATTTCATCAAACATACAAGATAGCCATCATTTCCATGCTTAATTATCTGGGGAAAAAAAAGACTGATTTTCTCTACTTACACTACATTTAGTGGTCAGGTATGGCTGCATGGTCATGGCATGTTTAACCATTAGCTGAGGCCTGATTTTGCTGAATAAGAACAAAGTGGTTATGCAAGCAACCAAGCGGCCAGAATTTACACCTTTGTTGTCAGAATCTGCAAAAGATTAGAAAATACAAAAAATATATCAAGTCCAAGTATGTTTTAGCAATGAAAAATATAAACCTTAAATGTAACTTGAATTATCTCTTTCATTACTTTTCTTTCAAGATCAATACAGAATATTCTTTTTAGAGAACAAATGTGTTAGCATTTCTATGAGATCGCAAAATACATGAAGAATGAAGCAAAAGTTCTTCAAAGATATCACTAGTTTTTGAACTACTTACTGCGCACAGAACACTGGTCCATAGAATGGTTCCTCTTATAACCGCGGAATATACTAATGCAAATAAAAGTTGCCATATTTTGTTTTGGTTTTAGTGATCTAATAGCTTAAACAAGTTACTCTGGTTTTGCAATTAGCTACTGAAAATTAGAGAAGCTTTACCACAACACAGTGCTCAAAAGTTCATAATGAACTTTAAAGCAAAAGATCACTACCATCAGTTTTGTTACAGGAATTCTGTAACAGTAATTTTTTGTGATAGTAATTCGAGCAACCATTCTTACACTACCATATAAAATTTAAAGTAGTTTAGCTACTGCGTTGTAGATAATATTACCTGATAAAGATTCCTCATATTTGAGAATGTGCTCAACCAAATTGTCAACAAGCTGAGTACAGGCTTTTTTCACAGGTTTGTATGAGGCATCCTCTTCTGACTTCAACAGCTGTAGAAGATGAAACAGAAAGTGATTTAGTTTTAAGGGTGCATTAATTTACGTTTGACACATGCTGGTTTTATGACAATTACTACAGATACATAAGGATTTTACACTATGAAAGTATTTATTTAACATCTCCATAAAAGTTACATGGTGATGAAAAAATTATAGGAAGTAAAAAATCAAGCCAAAATGCAAGAGAAGTAACAAAAATTGCAGTAAAAAGCCAGAAAATTTCTATTGATTCTTGCATTGGGATGAAAGCTAACTTTGTGTTTAATAAAATAATGCAGAAAACAATAATGTAGTCATTCTTGCCAGCAGTAAGAAAGACTTTTAAAATGCTTAAACGAAAAAAGAACAAATTCCAAAGGAATGTTGTTTTTGACACCAAGCAAAAATATAAAACCGAGACGAAACATAGTTTTATCAACATTTTAATCAGTTAGCCTTCTTCCAGATGACTGTAGGTACTGAAATTGTGTCCATGAAGATCCTTTAACATCTAAGATGGATTGAGACCATACTATAGCCTTTTCCTCAGTGTAGGCATTAAGAGGCTCTGATTTACTTGTCCACCTATTTTATGGCACTCCAGGCTGAAGTAAGATCAAGCAAGTTTTTTTTGCTTGAAATTTAACCAGTGCATGCTTAAATGGGGCCTACAGGAAACCTGGAGAGGGACTTTTTACAAGGGCATGTAGAGACAGGACAAGGGGGAAGGGCTTGGAACTGAAAGAAGGGAGATTTAGACAAGATGTCAGGAGGAAGTTCTTAACTGATAGAGTGATGAGACACTGGCACAGGTTGCCCAGAGAAGTTGTGGATGTCCATTCCTGGAAGTGTTCCAGGCCAGGTAGGGGCTTTGAGTACCTTGGTCTAGTGGTAAATGTCCCTGGCCAGGACAGGGAGGGTTGAGAGTATATGATCTTTAGGTTCACTTCCAACCCAAACCATTCTATGATTATTCAAGGGATTATGAAATAAAAAACAAACAAAACTCTCCCCAAACCAAGTAGTAGAGGCATTTTTGAAACAAATGATATGGAAAGACAGAAACTAATGTCAGAGAGACGAAGAAAATTGCACCAATGAAGACTGAAAAAAAGGTCAGATGTTTAAAGGGCATGAATTGAATTTGATTACTGTAAAGGACTGCTCTTGTAGTCTGCCTTCTAAGTGTTTTAGTACCAAAAGAAATGTTAAAATTCTAACAATGATCATACTGTATATTCAAAATGCATTACTTACATTTTGAAGAAGCTGCTCAAACCAATCATACCCTGTATCTCTACAAGCTGCCACCTAGAAGTATTTTTGAGAACAAAATGGTTAATAAAAAAGGCATCAGAGGAAAAATTACTTCAATACAGATGTTATCTTAGAAGACCAGTAAACATGCATAGATAGTATTTTCATATGCATTCAGTATAATGATTTTCTATCTTTGGAGATCAGAAACTTTTACATTTGAAAAATAGTCCACACCATTTAAGTGACTCCAGAATTTATATTCCATACAATACAAAGCCTACACATTCTACTGGAGATTGCTGACTCTAATGTAAGCCAAATTTTGGTGGTGTGGAACATTTTGCACAGATTAAAGCACAAATACAATCCTGATGTATCAAAAACGAACATGTGTGTACATACATGTACATATGTATTTTTAAATAAACAAACCAAGCCTTCATTGGTATCGTATCTGAGGAACAGCTCACAGGTACTCCAGAGTGTCTGGAAAAATTCACACTAGACTACCATTTCATAAAAATACTGAAAAGCAGGATGAAGTTTAAACCATAAGTGCAAGTAATGAAGTGAATGCTTTCATTTGGTATTTACACTGCTACTAGCAATTCCTGGAAAACATTAAATAACATAGAAATTTGCTATGCTTTAACTGAATAAGTATTTTATACAACCTGAATATAGCACGGTCCCAGTTTTCCTTGCCAGCAGATTAGTGAGCATTTAATGCTTCCTACAGCCTGTTTCATCAGATGAATAATTTTGATATATATTCAATACCAGGAGATATAAAAAGAAAACCATCTGGCAATCACATTACTGTATTCTTAAAAACTACAGACAATATATCAAAGATTCTAAAAGCATAACTAAATTTTGCATACAGCTTAACTCAAATTTGTTTAACATACCACATCCGTGATGTTCAGTATTTTCCTTGTCATTGCTTCTTTGTCATGGTGTGGAGTTGGAGTAAACCAGAGCTTCTGGAATGTCTCATTTACTAATTTCTGAAGGAAAAAAAAAAAGCATAAATAAAGTTATCTTGGCACACAGGTATTATTTCTAATACATTCATGTAACAGACGTGTTGATGATGTGTGCCATTTCATAAGGAATTATTTGACCTAAGTGAAACTGTTGTAGGAAATGCTATCTGAGACAGACACAGACCTACTGTTACAGGAGTTATACTGACCTCTAAACAAACTTCTGCAAAATGATCACTGGGACCTGATGCTACAGAAAATGGAGTTACCACCTTCCTGCATTAATTTGCGTTAATTTCCTCGGGCAACACAATACCCTAAGAAGCTGACAACTGAACACAAGATTATGATTTCTACTGCATAACGAGCAGCAACAATAGGTTAACTTGGGAATTTTCAAAACAGCTGTGAAAAGGTGGGAAGAGAGAGAAATCAAGTATGTTCCCTTCCAATGTTTCTGTATGGAGGAAAAAATGGAACCCAATGGAAGTGAACAAAATTATTCCCTCATTACTTATAAGGCATATGGTTATAAGAAGCTCTCCTCATTCATGAAAACATAAAAAATACATTGAAGATAATGCCTCATTTTTTCTAATGTTGTTAGAAAGGCAAGGAGAGGGAGAAGAGAAAATAAGGTCATCTTCCTTTCCCAGCAGCTTGGATTCAGCTGTTCAACAGTTTTCTCAGAAAGCCACTTCGTGTTAACATATCTCAAGTGGCAAAAATACATGCTGCAGCTTTAATGTTTCAGATTTAAAATCCTACTGAGAATATGATATAAAAATTATTAAAACTGTGTTCTTAATTACCCAATAATTTTAAACTTATTTTTCCAAATCAAACAAAACCATCACTGTAAGGTTTATGATTTAACACATCTTAGATTTGTGCCCTTCTGCATATACATTGCACATAGTTGAATATGATTACATAAGTAACATTTTAAGGGGAATAACAGACCCACTGAACATTCAGAACTAATGCAAAATTAACACAGATGAATAAAACCAAATCTGGCAATCTATCTTAACAACAAACACCTAATATTGACTTAAACTTTATTTTGTTTGCAGGAAGAAGTTTTATATGCCAATTTTACCAAACTCTTCAGAAAATGACTTCTTAAAATCTTTTGTCAATAAGACTTGAAAAAAAAAAAGAAGATAGAAAAGAAAGAAAAACAAGTCAGAGCATTTCAGAAAGCTAACATATCTGCTCTCAAAAATCAAAACTGAATAAAAATCATTACAAAGGAGCAATACCTTTTTTTTGGTCAAAATATGGGAACACTAAAATAATGATAATTAAAATCTTGAAGGATATGTTTTATTCTACCTTAATGCCTTCTTCGTCATTGACTCTCCGAATCATTTTCACACACATCTCTGTAATTTTTGGAAATGTCGGTTGTTCAATGCAGATATCCCTAAGTATCTTTATGACTCTTTTTCTCACACTGATACCAGTATCCTGTGAAGAGAAAAGCATTACACTCTTGAAAACAAATCAGAAATATAAATTAACTTATGTATTATATGAATTAATATTTGAAGATTACCCAATCTGACTTGCAAAATTTATTTAGAAAAAGAAGCTAACGTATTCAGGAGTGCATTTATATAAAATAAATAACTTGTACCATTTTATTTGCAACATTTTAAAGGTTGAGTCCCCAGCTGAGTCCCCCGAATGCTGACGTGCTGCCTTCCTCCACTTATACCCTCCCATGCTCATGATGTTGCAAATGCATAGTTCCACTTCTTAATTCAAGAACTTAAAAGCTAGATGTGATGATGGTTTAGCTACTTTGTTGGAGCACAGAAGATTTTTTGTAGATTTGGACTGGAAGACTTCAAGCCTTTGGATAAAGCTCACGGGTAAGATACATACAGCAATCTTTTCAATTTTCCTAGGCTTCATCTAAGGAAATGGATGAGGAAACTGACTTCATATTACCTTATTAAAACCTTGTTGAATCTGAATGTTAAGATGAATTGGTTTATGCATGCTCATATGCACATAAAGCTGCTTATCCCCAAAATCCTTCACAAACATGTTTTATCATGTAACTATCGCAAATGAGTAGCACTTGACAAAAAACATGACACGGATGCTAAGAGCTGGTGTTATGTTACAGTTCAATTAACACTGTATTTCATCTGACACTGTATTTAATCTGAATGCCTCAGTAAAAAGAAAAAAAAAAACCCAACAATAAACAACAGTCAAACTTCTTGTACAAAAACTCTAGTAGGAAGCCTTCTAAAACACTAGCATAGAAGAGCCAAGCAGTTTTAGTCTTTTTTTTTTCCCCTTTTGGCTTACAAATGGCACCTTTAGATTCCTGTGCTGTAGATCTTTCTTCATGACACTACTGAACTGCCCTCAACAACCCATATCGCAGACTTCAGAGAAGTGGCAAAATTCCTCATTTCACCTAATATGTGTCTTAATAATGGAATCAAAAGGAATATAATTCTGGTTCTGATGGGGTACAACTTTCTACATATGTGTACCTTTTGATATAACAAACCCTCACTGGAAACAAGTGATACATTTTACAAGGTTGATCTTAAAAGCATGATGCTCCCCATTAAAACAGTAAGATACAATTCACTTTTGGGATCATCATTTCATATTATGAAACACAAATAAGTTAAACCCAAATTTTTCATGTCACATATTTTATCTTTAATATCACAAGTTGCCATACCAATATTCTTTCAATCAGCATGTCATAATACTGCTCAGCAAGCTGAGGACGACAGAGCACAAATCGGCCAAGCAGCTCCACAGCTGCTTCTCGTACACTAGTGGAGTTATCCATTAACCGTCCATGAACACCTCGTTGCATATCCAGCTGAAAAGATCAAATGAAACGCAGATTCAAAGTAAGAAACAAAGATAGATTTCAAGCATGACAGAAGAATGTATGTGCATAAAGGATATTTCTTTTTTTTTACCCTGGCTAGAATACTGGGGTCTACAGCGACAACCTCAGACAAACACTTCATGGCTTTTGTTCGAACAGCAATTGCATTTTCACCAAGTACACGCAGAATCTAAGAAGAGAACAAAAACAAAAATTCAGCTGCGTTGCGATAGTAGAAAACAATTTAACAGGCAAAAATGCAGGTAAATAACATGCAAAAATTTAAGTAAAATATGAGTATCTGCCTATTAAAAATCAAAAATATCTTCTCAGACAGTGAAAAAATGCATGCAAGTGAAGTTCCATGGCACTGATAACTGAGCGTGGACATTTATTACATTTGCTTCATCTGTAAGACTGCTCCAAATGGGATTTATACAGGCTCCATACGCTCACTTTAAGTGCTATAATTTTAAAATCTACTTCTGTCATTCAGCTGTGGCTTTCCCCAAGTTGTTTCAACAGAAGGGTTGGATTTGGCACTGTAATTTTAAGAATGGCTCTGTATGCAGATCAATGTAAGTAACACAACCTAAACTAGTACTGGCGTTCAAACATGTTACCATGCCAGTATGTTAGTGACACTGGGCAAACAACACCTTCCAAAGTGACAGTAACATGCACTGCAACTAACTGATGAAGCTGGCTTGTATTTTCTAATCAAATTAAGCTCAGTTTCATGAGTTAGTATTACCAAACGAGCATGCCAGGGAACTGTGAAAATGTGTACACATAATTACAATGATTTTGCCATACACATAGATGGACAAATAAAATAACGCATATACAATGTGACATGCAAAATACATGCAAGAAAAAGAAACATAATGATGTGTGTCAGCAATACTGAGTACAAAAGAACATGGTGTTATCATGGCCTATTAAATACCTGTGCTCAATAATGAATAGATATGGCACACTACCACAAAAGTGTTTGGAATCAGAAACCAACTGTGTTTCACTGTACTAAGACTTCTGGCACAGTTTACCTGTGTCAAATAAATATCGAAGCTCTGGGCAAACGGCCTCATAGAGGCCAAGTAGCGAACAATCAAACATGCATCTTCATAGTCCACAGTATCAGAATTCATCCTGCAACAAATTCCATGTGTTAATTAAGATATGTATATAAAAAAGTATTTAAAACATCAAATGCATGGCTAATAAAAAATAAGCGGTACTGAAACATACTTTAATGTACTGAACTGAGATGGAGCAGTTTTAATGATGCTGCGAAGAAACTTTTTGCGACTTTCTGCTCTATGCATGATCTGTCCTGTGGTCTCAACATCTTTTGCATGATGAGTTCCTTCAGATGAATCCTCATCCTTCTGAGATTTAATTGCTTTCTCTGTCTCCATAGTTGTATCACGAAACCACTGAGCTATGTAAAACTTCCGAGAAAACTAGAGAAATAAAGCAAGACGCATAGAAAACAAGAACAGCATATACAGAAAAGGAAAATTAACAGATTTATAATGAGAGTAAATTAATCTAATGCATAAAAAATATTTCAGAAAACACAACCAACAGTATATGTGTTAGGGTGACAATTAAATTAAAGCACTAATATGGGTACTAGAAAATCACTTCATTCAGTATACATTACTAAAACTGTTTCATATACACTTGACACCAGAAAGCTGAAATTTACCACTAATGACGCATCAGTTTCTGTGTTCTCGTCCAGATAATCTAGCAAAGCCTTTTGCAGCTGTTGAATTTCATCTTCTCCTCCTGAAACCTTTTGAAAGTAGAGAGAGAATTATAAAACAGAATACTGCATAGTGGTAATTATAATCTGAAAATCTGCATGTCCGTATATAACACACACTGAAGTCAGTTGTTTTGATAATTGCAGAACGTTAACAATTTTTCAACCAATTACTTATAAACTGCATAGAGATTGAAACAAATCAGACTGGGGCTCTAAGGTCTAAAAAATTTAAGAGCAGAGTACGACTGATTTCTAAACAGACTGATTGATTGATTTTCATTCTATGATCTTGTGTGAAGACCTTCTGTCACAGAGGAAAAAAGGGCTGAAATCACACACAGCAAACTAACATAAGGTTTAAACCACAGAAGTCACCATTAGCTGTCTCACCAATATTAAATACCAAAACAGTGAAGTTAGTAGTTCAGAAAAAAATGCATAGTGTCCATATGAAATGTGCAAGCCCATGTTTTTAAAAGGACTCATAGAATCTGAGATTTTCTCATCATACTATGTACTCCACAGTGCCCAAATGCATACACTGGTTTGATAATTGTTGCCACCCTTTCAGAGTTGGAGCAGCATTAGCAAAAATGCAAATATGGATATGCACTTTCTAATGAAAGATATATACAAGTCCAGTAAAAATAAATAAATTAATAAATAGAGTGTATTTGATTCAGAAATACAAACTGTGAAGACTGATTCTCCACAATGCCTGTTTTTCAAACGTCTTTAAAATTTTCAAGATTCCCAGCTGGCATGGGATCTTTCACACACCTGTTTAAGGATTCTGGCTATAGATCCTTGATCCATTTTGCTAGTCACTGCATCTTTCCTCAGTCTTGCAGCTACAGTTCCAAGGTAGTCAAGTGATGCAACTCTTAATGCCATTTCTGTAGATTTGTTACTGAACTGGTGAACCTACGAAAACCAAAAGAAACTGTTAAAAAAAAATAGTTATGCAGCTGAGATTCTTCTCACAAGAGATTGCTTGATCTTATTAAAAATTCCACTAAACTGCCATGTTGTATACAATTATGTAGTGTACTATTACATCACAGATGTACTATTAATTTTACATTACTGTCTCTTCCTTTATGGGGTTTCTCTTCAAACGTGTCTGCTAGTTTTGTTTTTTTTTTTAATATGTATTTTCATGAAATAAACTGGACAACATGCAATAGCATGGATCTTGAGCACCATAATCCAATTTCCTCATTATTTACAAGAGCATGAAGAAAGCTACATTTCACCAAGAACAGGACCATAAAATATTTTTCCAAGAAACAGCTCAAATTACATTGTACTACTGAAGAACAACTCTCATGAAACATGCTAACAGAAATATTCACATCCTGTAGAATATCGTAAGTAAATGTTATTAGTGATAAAACCCCAAACTACTTAATTGTTTTAAGGTTCTGCGCTTAAAGGAATAGCGCAGAGAAGATATTTAAAATCAGTAATTACAGCCATTAGTCTGACTTTACCCCAAATGAATATCTACACTTATTAGACTCTATACAGCAGCATTTTTTCATGTTGAAAATGTCACGGAATAGTGGAAGTGGATTTCCATGAGGAACTGTATACATATGATTTTTAACAAGTTCCACATCAATGATCCCCTAACCTGAATTTTATTATCTATGTATTACCTAGTAGTGATACGCATAAGAAAATCCTTAAATGCTGTATGTGTGCCAACAGTCTGAAAGCATTCCTGTAGTTCAGCTGAAATAACTCTCCACTGACGTAAGAAATAAATTTACGTAATAGTTAAAAACAAGAATCTCTTACCAATAGCCTTCCTAATAAGCTAAGTAGTAACTCTGCAGCTGGCCATTCTGGTTTATTGACTGTGGAAAGAAGATCTTGAATGAAGTTCTCAAACAGTGGTCTGTAATCTTCTTCCCCTTGTTTACTGCCACACCTGTTTAAAACCAAATGCATTTTGTAAGCAAATTTAAGAGCCATTTAAGCTTTTTTTCTCACGTAAACAAAAGTAATCCTATGTTTAATTAGAAAAGCAGCTTTCTGCAATTCTAAGAAATGTATCTGAACTGTGTTCTATTCATTTACAGAGAAATAATTAAGTTACCACTGCAAATTGCACTGCAAGTAATGCTGCTAATTCACGATCGCAGAATTTTGTTCCTAAGATTTTTTTATTTATTACTTTGAGTTAAAGTCTGCATTAAATTGGAGGGACAATGTAGGTAAAATTGTAAAGCTCAGGCTTGCATGGGCTGTTTATATTCCTTAAGCTTGGTCTGATTTATCTCACAGTGATATCTCAGTATTTTTTTCCACAAAGATAAAAACAGGATGTAAAAAAATCAAAAGATAATACACCTGATAGAGTTTCACTTACATGTGGCATTCCTAACTTTAAGGATACTGGAACTACGCAGAGACATTGCTAGATGGCTATTAAATAGCCTTTCAGCTCAAAAGTAGAAATTAACATGATAAAAACCTCAGAACTTATTCTTAGAAATCCTTTGGTTACTCAGGTATGTTATGTTTTTTTTATCCCCGCTGAGCTATTGACATTCCTGACTTTAGTTAAATGAAAGTAATTTTTAGGTTTTTTTATATCTTTGACATTCTGATGACTGAGTGAACATGGTTTCACCACTTCTGTATTTACTTGGCCTTCTCTTCCAGGCTTCAGATGAGTAACAGACCCCTAATAAAAGGATCCTACACGAACTATCAAATAGTATTCTTAAATGTATAAAGAACTCTATAAAGAATTTCTGTTCCATAAAAATTCTTGTCCAGATAGGTAGCTCTCCAAGGGCAGGTCTCCGAGGATTCTATAAAGTATGTTGATATATATATAGCTTTATGAATAGGTATTTAGCATTGCAAATCAGTTAGGTTTGTGTTAAGGTATGACAGACTTTATTTGGAGTTGGTTGCATCAATACACTAGAGAATGCAGCAGTACTTACTTTTTAAGGAAAATAGAAAGGAAGTTTTGTGCCGTTCTCATGGCTGTTTCATATGAGTTAGTAATAAGCACATCTTGATCCACCTAAGAATAGCAAGACATATTTGTCTATTATTTTAGCACACACAGAAATACAATTCCAGATCAGCATTTCTAACGTGCCAAAAATTTACAGCAGACATAAATGTATAGTATTTGATTACCACAGCACCATAATGAATTATTATATCTACAAACACACTGTCATTCTTGCACAAAAAAAAAAAAAAAAGGCTATTTAAAAATATCTTACTTTCTTGTTTGATTCCTCCTCTGAGTTAGAATCTTTTTCTGCTGATGGTAAGTGCACCACACACTGAATAAGCTGCAGAACTAGTGCTGTTACCATCTGAATATACATAGGCTCTCCATCAGTGTCACTGCTGTTTAACCTGTTAATAAGAAAAGGCAGCATTAATACTAAAACTAAAAAAAAAAAAAAAAAGACAAAATAAAGTAAAACTTTTTGATCCTAAATAGTACCTTTCTAAAATTATTACCACAGCTAGAAATCTGTGTTCTAGACATTTATCTAGTAATTTGTTTCTCTCTTATGGTTAAAACAAACCAGAAAGTTTCTTCTCAGGCAGAAGAGATGTACTGAAACAGCCTCAGGATGGGCTATCAGAATATCTGAAGCAGCGGAAAAATCTACAGGATTGTTTACTAAATCAAACACCTACATGCTAAGACACTAATAGGTTTATTACGCATGAGGCCATATCCATTTCCAGCACAACACCAAAAAAACCCCACCAAACTGTTGCCTTAACAATGTATTATTATA